CTCTTGCTCATAGGCTGCAAAGATCGATGAATCCCAAGATCAGCAGGCAAGACTGCGGGTAAGCTGCTAGCTTAAGTCTCAAGAACTGGAGGTCAGATGAACGGGAGCCAGCTGCAGGATATAGAGTGAGCAAAAGCCCACAAGCCTTGTCAGAATGTCCACTTATATCTGATGCAGGCCACATGCCTAAGGAAACTCCCTTTCAACTGATTGGCTACTAACAGCAGATCCCATAATGGGAGTGATCATATTATATCAAATCTCAACATGGAAGTGATCACAACATCATATGACTGCAAGTCCGCTGAGAATCATGGCCCAGCCAAGTTGATACATGATTTTAACCATCACAACCACCATGCCTGTATTTCCAGATTTTTTTTTTTATGGTTTGACTTTTTAAAAGTTTAAACCTTCAGCTGTAGGGACTATGGTCTCAGGGAGCATCTAGCTTAATTAGCATAACATAGTTTATAAAGAAAATGTTCTACATTCTGCTTTGATGAGTAGAGTCTGGGGTCTTAAACGCTTGTGAGTGGCCATCTAAGATACTCCACTGGTCTCAAATTAAAAAAAAAAAAAAAGAAGAACCAGAACCCCCCCCCGCAAAAACAGAAAAAAAACACGAAAAAAGAAATGCCTTCAGGGATCCCTCTGCACGTCTGTGCAAGCTGAGGGGGTAGGTCCCAAGCTGCGTAGCAGCACCTGGCCAGAACAGGCTCCCAACTAGAGAAAAGAAAAAGAAAACAAACAAACAAACAAAAAAGCCCTGGTATCCCACTAGTGTGGCAGCACAGACCGGGAAGCAGTTCCACACTTGAACGGAGCTCCACAGCCCCTCGGGAAGAAGCAAAGATGGCACACGGAGCCAGGTATTTGAGCAAAAGAGGAGGGGGAGGTGCTGAGAGGTAAGGAAGAAATCAAAAGAAGCCGAAAAAAGCAACACCAGCAGCCAACAAATGACACTCAGGGAGTTGGCCAGTGCAGGCGGGTGGAATCCAAGCAGCCGGTGCTACCCAGCCAAAAGACTGTGGCCGCAGGAAGCAGAGGAGGCCTAGTGGGGGTGAAGAAGGGTGGGGGGTGGGAAAGCGTATATCACTGTTTACCGGTTGTTCTGTCTCCTGCTGGAAGCTCCATGAAGTGCTTTCTCTTACCCCCTATTTGCTGGTCTCTGATATGAGTCCAAGATGGCGGATCCGCGCTGCATTAGCTGGTAGGGGACCTCTGCAAGAATCTCTCCTTGCTCTCCGTTCTCTGTCAGTTTTGCACTCCACTTGGTGTTTGGCTGAGTTCTTTATCTCTTCATTTGATGTTTTAGGGTTTCAGGATTGCTGTTTTCTCTGTTTGGCTTAGTTTTTCGGATCTTTGCTGTGGAGGGACAGCGTGGTGCTTCTGCCTAGAGCGCCATGTTGCTGGAAGTCCTCGAGGCAGAAATTTTTTTGAAAAAATTATGGGCTTTAAATTTTTCCCTGTCTAGATTTTATGACTGTACTGGGCAAAAGAAAAGACTGTGTGGGGGGTATTTTTTGAGGTATTTTCTTTAGAACCACTTGTAAAGCTATCATTTGATTTAATTCAAGATTTTATTGTTTTTAATTAGTTTAGATTCACGTTGACAGATAGGTAAGGATAAATTCTAATTACATGTTGCACAAAGCTTCATATATTGTTTGCATTCGTTAAATTATTATTTTAGTTATAATAGTTATAGCCCACAAGGACAGTACATGCAATAGAAATCTTAAAGTTTTGATTGTTTTCATACATGACATATATTCTCTACTGGAAGAGAATCTATGTTACTCTTTTTTATGTGGCAGAAGGATTGTGAGTTAGTGTTGACTGGTATTTCATACTGAGTAGTTTTTACTAAGAATTGGTTTAGGGAAATGGTACTTTTTCACATACAGGTAGTCGCTGACTTAACCATCGTAAGTCAATTCTGACGTAAGTCAAATCCCTCGTTTTTTTTTTTTAGTATTCATTATTATTGCCTTTTATTATCAGTATCTTTATAAATTTCTGATCTTTGTGGAGACTGGAAACATTACATATAAACCTACAGCTATATTTGAATACATGCATACATGTATAAAAAATATACAAATTATAAAAATTTACTCTGACGATAAAGAAGAGTTGGATGATGTTGGCATTTTGTCAGTTGTGGTAATAACTCCACTTGTGGAAGATTCTGGATTATCTGGATTATCCCTGGGAATGAGGATGGCGTTTCTAGTCAGAAAATTAGAGTTGTGTGTATGGTCCGTTTCTTTTTTAATTCATATATTTCATGGTAACATCTCACTGCTTGCCAAATTGGCCTATAGACTTTAGCAAAGCGATCAGCATTTCTATCCATGTTTTCAAGAAACTGGAGCCCCTAACTAAATCGGCAGTGTTTTGAACAGTAAATCAGAAAATTAAACATTTGAGGATGATAACATCAGCAAATTACGTGCTGCAACTTTGTATGTAGTACATATTACTAACGATAAGATGTACAAAGATAAAGACAATCTTAAGTGTAGCTCATCATAACTTGAATATGTTATAAGTTGGGGACTACCTGTATTTATCACTGAACTTATGAGGAATGAGGACCATCAAATCTATGGAAGGAAGGGCTAGACTGAGCTTTTGGTTTAAAGAAAAAAAGACAATATTTTTATTTCATTCTTAAACAGCCAGACTGATTTTTAATGACTAGAAGTGATAAAATTGGTTTGTTGTGTCAGTTAGCCAATGGGAAAGGGAGTGTCGACAGAGCATGAGTGAGGGCAATGATTGGGAAAATAAAATTTCATTTCGTGTTTATACCTCACAGAGTTGGGATTGCTCAATAAATCAGCTATAAGTATATAAATAATACTTTATATTTTATATGACATAGTTAATGTTTTCATATGTAGTAAAAGTGTAGTGGTTAATTATTTGAGCTCTAGAGTCAGCTTCTCTGAGATTGAGTTCCATCTCTCTCACTTATAAGCTGTACCCCATGTTCCTCATCTGTAGAATGGGGATAATAACAATATTTATCTCATATGGTAGCTGTGATCATTACATGAATATATATGTGTAAAGCACATAGAACAGTGCCTGGTACATAGTAAGCATTCAATAAGTGGCTGCTCTCATCATCCTCCTCCTAAACATGATGTTATCATAAAGGTGTAGATTTGGACTCACCCTGGGCGGGAGATGCTTAGTTTTGAAGGATGAGAAGAAATTATCCAAGGAGGAGAAAGGGCAGTCCAGGTAGAGGGAACAGAGGAAACAATAAGGATAGAAATCTGTAGTAAAATTTATCAAGATGCTCTGCATTTTTAGTTTTCAAATAAAAACAGGAGTAATTAAGTTATTCTTAAATTTCAAACCAAATCCAAATGACAAAAATGACCTCTGCTGGACTACATTGAAGGCAGACATTATTATTCCTAAATTAAACTTCTTATCAACCAAACATCTTCGACCACCACAAAAAAAAATTAGGGTACACAACAATTTAGAAAGCATTTTAAAATTACCAAATATTATGACTTACTTTAGAAATTTTGTTTTCAAGTTTAGTTCTTAACTGTAATCTCTCAGCATAACTGGATCATAAAAAATGTATTCTATCCACATCTACTAATATCATACCTTCCAAACATGTTTACTATAAACATTCAAAAAGACAGAAACTTTGCAGAGAACTTCGGATTAACTGCTTTAGTAGCAATCCAGTGTTAAGGAGTTGAAGAGTATATCATCGTCCCCTGTATCCATTATCCATTACCACAATAATACTGTGTATCATACAGCTACAATACCTCAGTGGCATATAATAATAAATATTTATTTTTGCTCACAGATCTACAGATTAGCTGGACAGGTCTGCTGATCTTGGCAGGCTTGGTTAGGCAGTTTTCTGGTCTTGGTTGGAGCTCATGCATGTGTCTGGAGGTCGGTCTTGTGGCTGTTGGGATGGCCTTGGCTAGGATTACTTGGTTCTGCTCCTCATGGTCTCTGGCTTTCTGTGGGCTAGCCTGGGCTTCATGGTAGTGACATAGTTCCGAGAGAGAGAGCATATAAGTATGCAAGGCTTCTTGAGGCCTAGTCTTGGAAGTGGTACATCACTTCCACCACATTTTTTGAGCCAGCACAAGTTGCAAGCCCTGCCCAGATTCACGGGGAGAGAAAGTAGACTCTTGATGGGAGTAGCTGCAAAATTCCCTTAAAAAGAGCATGGATAGAGGCTGGGATAAAGAACTGGGGTCACTTCTGCAATCAATCTACCACGTCCCCTTTCGTCTTTCTCCACCCAAATTGGCCAGATTTCTGTTTGACAGTCTGGCAAGAAGGGACTGGGGATCTCAGTGCTTACTGAAATGAACAGTGCAGGCAATCTGTTCCATAGGAATGCCTCTGTGAGGGAGATGCCCGTTGGGTATTTCTGCCTATGGTTTGTCATCTGACTTTATTTGCTTTGTTATCAAGAAAAAAGACAATCATGTCAGAAATTCTGTTTTTATGTGGGTAGAGAAATCAATTACAGCTAAGTAGAAACCTCTGAGGTGTTTAATGGGAAAAATTGAATGGCTGTTGCAGTTTGGTTTTCTGTAGATCCTGAAAATAGCAACAGATGTTTGAACCAAATACAATGTTTTCAGCTCTATTTGTAAAAATCTGAGATAGAAGAGTGGGCAAAAATTTAGTTTGAGCTTCAGAGCATCAAAGTAACTTGATTGACCAATTTTCCTTGGGCTTTTCCTTTTCCTCCTCACTGACTATGGACTCACTGCTTTGGTAAAAAGTAGACCTAGGAAGGGATGATGGCGACCCATGTGAATGTACCTCTGGGTCTCAGAACCTCCCATTTCTCATGGTTATATTTGGAATAGCTTGGTATTCTTAACATTTAACACAGTGCCTTGTATGGACTAGGTCTTGAAGAAGATATTTATTAAATGTAAGTATGGGAATGTTGATTTTCCTCCTTTCTGTCCTTCCCTTTCCAGAATTAATAGCTCGACTTTTTGGTTGCAACTTACCGGACACTAGAGAGGACTATGTGAAGATGATAGATGTCCCGGACTCCTACGACGGTCCTCGTCTGCAATTCCCACTCACTTTTACTGACATTGAATCACTTATTGAGGGCTTCAAGCAGCAAAAGGCAAGTGAAAGCAGATACTACCATGATTTTTGTATCTAGCAGGTGCTCAAGGACTGTCTTGAATAAATGAATGAAAATACTATAGCAGAGAACTTTCACATTAAGCGAGATCTACCATCTGCTTTGCTTAGCCCATTAAATAGAAATCTCCTCAGGTACACAGCAACTTCCTTTCTATCTGTAACAGTTCCCTTTTTCTTTCTTTCTTTCTTTCTTCCTCTCCTCCCTTCTTTCTTTCTTTCTCTGAGATATAATTTACATACCATAAAATTCACCATTTGTAAATATACGATTTTTTTAGTATATTCATGAGTTTATGCAACCATCACCACTATCTAATTGCAGAACATTTTGATCATCCCAAAAGAAACCCCATACCCATTAGACGTCACTCCCCATTCCCCCTACCCCCTCAACCTTTGGCAACCACAAATCTGCTTTCTATCTTGAAGGATTTTCTATTCTGGATATTTCATATAAGTGGAATCATACAGTATGTGGCCTTTTGTGTCTGGATTCTTTAACTTGGCAAAATGTTTTCAGGGTTCATCCATGTTGTAGCATGTATAAAGACTTCATTCCTTTTTATGGCTGAATAATATTCCATTGTATAGCTAGACCACATTTTGTTTAAGGGTTATATATTTATACATCTGTTTACATATTTCATATGTGGTTATATTAATTTGTATATGCTTACAAATGCATAGAATTTTTTTTGGAAAGATACTCAAGGCATTCTTAACAGTATTTCTAAGCATAGGGATCAGGGTACTGAAGTCTGGGGAAGAGAGAAAATTGATTTTCATTGCTGTGCCCCTTTTTACTGTTTAAATTTTTATTTCAACTAAAAAAATGAGTTAAGTTTTTCCATTTAAAAACTAGTTAAGTTTTATTTTTTTTTAAAAAGAAATATCCTTTAAAAATTATATTTTCCTCCTTCAACACCTTTAAAAGAATGTGAAAATTTTATGTTGTTTTTAATCTGAATATATTTATAAATGTAGTAACCAACATCTGAGTTAATTATTTTGAGTATTTAATATTGCAGCTGTAAACACAGCAATTATAACTCGATTGAAAGATAGCCTTATAAGCAAGTACTAATATTACCAAAGATAATTTAGCCAATCTAAAAAGGACCCAGAAAAACTATTTTAATAATAGGAATTTTCTGCTGTTGTGATATATTGTCAATGAATATATAACTTTTTTACAAAACAAAACCGCCTCTTCAAACAGCAATTACTGTGATTAGTGCTATAAAGGGACCAGAAAAGCTACAATGTCAAGTTAAGCTAACACGAAGCCAGCATTGGGAGTCAATATATTAAATGTGCAAATTGAAATAAAGTCGACCCTCCATATACTTGTGTTCTGCCTCTGTGGATTCAACCAACCACAGATAGAAAATATTCAAAAAAGAAAAGAAAGTTCCAAAAAGCAAAACTTGAATTTGCTGCACACCGAGCACTATGCTGAGTCCACGCCAATAAAATGGTGTGTAGACATACCCTGCTGTAACCTCCTGCCATTTCAAAGATCCTCAGTCTCTCCAGCACTCCTTGTTTGAGATTGTGAAGACTGAGAAAGTGTTAAGTGTAAGCATTAACAACTATTTACATAGTATTTACATTGTATTAGGTATTATAAGTAATCTAGAGATGATTTAAAGTATATGGGAGGATGTGGGTAGGTTATATGCAAGGTACTACACCATTTTATATAAGGGACTTGAGCATCCTCTAATTTTGGTATCCACAGGGGTCCTGGAACCAATCACCCATGGATACTGAGGGACTACTGTATGCCATTATACAAAAGTGTTTTGCCCATTCCTTTAAAATATGGCTAAAGGAAAGTTCACATTCAAATTTTGACTCTATTTGTGGATTAGATTGTTTTGTGGTGAAAATACTTACCAGTCCGTTAGGTTTTGGATAGGAAATATGGGTCTCTCCCCATTAATCAACTTTGAAGGGCCCCTTTCTTTCCTCTTAATTCTCATATTGCTTCAAATCCTGTTTCCTATCTTTTAAAAAATTAATTACTTAACAATGAAAATTCTCAAAACTTAAATCAGACACTTTTGGGATCTGGGATAGAAGATAATTTTATTATTTTAATAGCTATGAAAATGGAAATTTCAGGACACTGTGAGACAGTATTGGTCTGAAGGATTCCATTCCCAAAGCAGTATCTGAACCATATGTAGATATGACCCGTCTCTCAGCCTTCAGTAATCTAAACCAGTGCTGTCCAGTAGAAATATAATGTGAGCCACATGTGTAATTTTAGACTTTTGAATAGTTGCATTGAAAAAGTAAAAAGAGGAAGGTGGAGCCAACATGGCACTATAGACAGACGCACCATGCCATCCCTCTACAGCAAAGACCCAAAAAACTAAGTAAAGCAGATACAAATGTCAATCCTGGAACCCTAAGTGTCAAATGAAGGGATAAAGAACTTGATCAAGCATCGAATGGAATGAAAAACTGACAGAGAACAGAGAATGAGGAGAACTATGGAGTGGAGGTCCCCTTCATGGAGCTCACAACAGAACACAGAGCATCTGGTAAACAGGGATACACGCTTTCCCACACTACCCTTCTTACCTCTACGTGGCCTTTGCTGCTTTCCAACAGGCCACAGTTGCTCAAACGGAGAGACACCAGCTCACTACTGCCCAGGTCTGCCCTGCTCCCACCTGCCTGCTCCTTCAGCACCATTTTTTTGTTTTGTTATTGTTTTTTGGCTTTTTTTCTTTGTTTCTTCTCTCTCTCTCCCTTTCCTTTCTCTCATCCAGCTAGCCCCATGTACCGTCCCTGCCCCTCAGAACCACCCCACCGACAGGCTCCCTCAGTGCCATTTTTTTGTTTCTTATCTCTCTCTCTCTCCCTTCCTTTCCTTTTTCCCACCCAGCTAGCCCCATGTGCTGTCCCCGCCCCTCCTTGATGGGCTGTGCCACACCACTCAGCTAGAGAGCCACTGGCACACGGCCTCCCCAGATCCGTGCCAATCCCCCAACAGGCTTCCTCAGCAACATTTTTTTTTCAGTTTTTTTCTCTCTCTTCTTTCTCTCACCTACTTAGCTCCACACATCACATCCTCTCCCTTCCCTCCTGCCTATCTGCACTGCATGCTGAGTGCTGTGCCCCTGAGCAGCACTGGCACAGACCACTGGACCCTGCCCTGCACTGACCCCTGGTTCCACCCTGTCAGCCCCAGTATGTACTGCAAATGACCCATCCCTGCCCACTCCCCACTGGACCTGTCCTGCTGTGCCATAGCCCACCTGGACAAAGTGGTGAGAAGTATCGTGCCCACAGGCAAGCAAGCAACAAAGTATGCCCAGCCCACCTGCAAAGACATTACCAAAGAAAACAAAAAAGCAGGATGAAACAAACAAATCTACAATCAATAAATGAAGAAAATAATTCCAGAATGTCCAGAAGACAGCAGAAAATATCAAAACATATTAAAAAAAAAAAACAGAACAGAATGGCTCCAGAAAGCAACGAAAATAAAACACCAGATGACTTTCCAGTAAAAGAAAAGCACTGGAACTACCTGATAAGGAATTCAAAACTCTAATATTCAGGGCTCTCCAAGAGATGAAGGGAAACACAGACAAAAATAAGGAAAAAATAGACAAAATCATGGAAAATACAGACAAAATCAGGGAAAACACAGACAAAGCAATGGCAGAATTCAGGAAAATAATACAGGAACAAAATGTCAAAATAAACCAACGGATAGAAATCATACAAAACAACAATTAGAGATCCAAAAGATAAAAAACAAGATTTCAGAAATGGACAGTGCAATAGAAGGTTTTAGGAGGAAATTTGAAACAATGGAAGACAGGATCAGCGAAACAAAATAAATCCTCAGATACCACTTTGTTTGATGAAAAATCAGAGAAAAGAATGAATAAAAATGAAAAAAACCCTGAGAACGATGTGGGATCCAATCACAAGCAAAACTCTGCATGTGATCAGAGTTCCAGAACAGGAGGAGAAAACGGAAAACACAGAGAGGATCATTGAAGATTTGCTGACAGAAAACTTACTTAACATCATGAAAGATGAAAAGCTGACCATCCAAGAAGCTCAACAAACTCCATATAGGATAGACTTCAAAAGAAAATCACCAAGACATACCATAATCACACTCTCACCAAAACCAAAGACAAAGAAAGAATCCTGAGAGTAGCTCGAGAAAAATGAAAAGTCATGTACAAAGGGGAAACAATAAGTCTAAGCTCTGATTACTCAGCAGAAACCTTGCAGGCAAGAAGGCAATGGGATGACATATACAAAACCTTGAAAGAAAAAAATTGCCAACCAAGAATAATATATCCTACAAAACTCTTGCTCGAATATGATGGTGAAATTAGGACATTTCCAGATAAACAGAAATTAAGGGAATATGTAAAAACCAAACCAAAGTACAAGAATTATTAAAGGGAGTCCTCAGGTTAGAGAACCAACAATATCAGACAATGACCTGAATCTAGGACACTGGACAGTACTAGCCAGATACCAACTTAGGTAATGAACTCTGAAGGATAAAACAAAACTAAAAGATTTACAACAGGGAACTACAGTGGTCAATCTGTAAATGACAACATCAGAACAATAAAAGAGGGCATAAATGGTGTAGATATAGAACTTTCAAATGGAGAGGAAGTCAAGGCGATATCAAGTAATAAAAGACTGGTTTAAACTTAGGAAGATTGGGGTAAATTTCAAGGTAACCACAAAGAAAGTTAACAAACCTACTCATCAAAATAAAGAAGAAAAACATAAAGTCTCAG